TTTTGTCCCGATCTTCGCGTCGTTTCATCGGTGCTTGGCGCCCCCCGGGCTGCCCCCAGAGCCCCAGCCGCTCCAGGTAGCCCAGGTGCCGGATCTCCGTGGCGCCCGTGGCGCTCGCGTAGAGCACGGCCGCGGAGGGGCACGCGCGCTGCAGCTCGGAGACGCACATGCCCGCCCGGGAGCCCTGCAGGACGGTCTGCCCCTGCGCGCCGGCGCGCCACGGGGGCGTCGGCGCTCCTCCTCCTCCTCCTCCTCCCTCCTCCTCCTCCTCCTCCTTCTCCTCCTCCTCCTCCTCCGCCTCCTCCTCCTCCTCCTCCTCCTCCTCCTCCTCCTCCTCCTCCTCCTCCTCCTAACACTGCCCCAGAGTTCGTGAGCAGGAAGGGGTCCCCCCCCCAAGAGGAGCAGTCTTCTCAAGAGGAGCAGTCAATCTTGGACCTCCCCCCCGGACAAGATACGGCAGGGCGCCCTCGTGCCCAGACCCCCCCCGGGGCCCTCCGAGGCGGCTCCAAAAGGACCCCCCTCCCAAATGAGTTTTATTGTGAAATCCAGTGTGGCCATCGCTCGGACGTCCATTCCCTGTGCTTTTTTGTTGGTTTCGTGCGTGGTTTTTTCGCCAAATGATCAAGGATGCTCCTCGATTGCCCTCGCCGAAGGAAAAATGCACACGTCCGAGCGATGCCAAGGAGTAGGCAGGGGACGGGCTCGAGGAGCAAGACATCCGGACCATTTTGCCAGTCGCCGGCGGCTTTCCATTACCCCGTGTCGGGATGCCGTCCAGCGGCTGCGCCTCGCCGGGAGCGTTCGGGGGGGTCCCAAATCGTCCCGAGCGGCCACCAGAGGCCCGAGCAGCGGTCAGAGAGACCACAAGGCGACTGGCTCAGGGGGGAAGCATCAAGCTGGAATTGGCGAGAAGTCGCCGATATATTGGCGATTAGTCCCCGATGGAGACTCCGCAAGTTCCTGGGCACGGTGGGCTATCGAGCAGGTATCGGCCATCAGTGGGCGATTGAAGGTCGATGCGTCCCCCCCAGAACCTATTCCGCCCCTAACTTGCCCCTGACAGCTCCACGCCCGACGACGGCCAGCCTCCCAGGTTCGAGGCTCGACCTCCGAGGCCTTCGGACGCTTGTCCGCGGGGCTCCTCGTCGCCACGGCTGGATCCGCCTCGAATCCTCACCAGAACGCACCCCTCGAGAGGTCCAGGGATCGATTTGCGACTCCTGACCCCCGCGCCCTCGCGTTGTGACAGAAACGCGACGGGATGCTCCTGGACGGCCCAGAAACGACCCAGAATGATAATCCCGTCCCGATGAAAGGAGGCAATACCTCTGGGGATCTCTGGCGATGCACGTGATGAAAAACTCATGACAGCGGGAGTCTCGGGGATGCAAGGCGGGCTGGGTGTTTTTCTGCATGGTCCCGGGGGGCCCTCACTGGCCCCTGGGCCCCCCCCAAAGCAGCCGAGGGTGAAAAACTAACTGATCTCCTGCATCCGCCTTCTTGTGCCGTCTTGTGCTGGCATCCGCTATGCCAACCCAGCCTGGGATGCAGAACAACTCTTGGAACCCAAAACAAAAAGCCAGTCCTGGGGAACGGACTGGGGGTCACCAGCAGGGGGGAGGAGCAGTGGTGGAGGGGAGGAGGAGAGAAAAGTTGTTGACATCCACTGCCACTGGGCCACCCCGAAGGCGGCCGATGCCGTCCAAGTCTACACTCACCCCCGATCTCTTGGGATGGAGGACTTTGCAGACAGTGGTGGGGAGCCTCCTTGCGTCTCGCCTTTGCCGGCGGACCAGGACTTCTGATTTTTGTCGGGGCCAACGGGCGCTTCTTGGGGCATATGAGAGCAAGGGTGGCCCAAGCCTCTCAATTGCTTACGCTATATATATAAAAGGACAAAACTGCCAATACACACAGAGCTGCCAGCTCTTCAGTCGGCCACAATACCATTCTTACCGAAATCAAGATGCGATTTCGGGTCAACCTTCCGTCCACTCACACAGCGCCCAGAAGGAGGACGCTCGAAAGAACGGGAGTTCTGCAATCATTCCCCGAATTGCCACGAAAACTTGCCAACCACATTTCTTCAAGAATTCCCCACATCGCCAAAACTCCCCAATCCAATTCCAATGTAAAGGTGGCCTCGGATTCTTCGGAGCGGGGTGAGGGGTTCGGGACGCGAGAGACCCCCTCCAAGTCCGCGCGAAAACACCCCTCCATCAAATGTGCTGCCAGCATCAAGGCCGTCTGGTCAAACGATATCGGAACATCAACAGGCTCACCGTCGGCACGCGCGATCAGGGGGGCCAAAGGGGTCCAACAAGGCGCCCTGCTTGGCGGCCATGTCGGCCTCGCTATTGCCCAACAAGTCGGCACCCCAACCTCGGTAGGGGAGGGAGGGGCAGGAGAGCCTATCGAGGTCGAAGGCCATCGAGATCGAAGCGAATCGAACCGGAGAGGAATCGAAAGAAGCCCTGGGAGGGTCGACTTGCGCTGCCCTCAGAGCCGCGCTGCCCTCATGGCGAGCGAACAGCACGAACCGCGCCCTGCGTACCCCCCTCGACCCCCGCCTGCCGAACCTTCCGCGCGGCAGGTGCCGCCGCGGCGCGACCGCGGCAGCCGCGGAGGCCGCCGCCGCCCGCGGAGGCACCCGCCGCGCAGAGGGCGCGGCAAGGGGGCGGCAGGGGCGCCGGCCGCATCGGCACGACGCCCGGGACGGCCCAAGCGTACCCCCCGGGAGACGCACCCCAAGAGAGAGGTGCCGCAGCGGCAGCGGTTGCAGCCACGGTGGCCGCCCCAAACGCGGCCGTGAGGCGTCCCGAGGCTGACCCCGAGGCACCCTCTCCGGGGCAAGTACGTCTGCTCTGGGGCACGCCTGGCCTCCCCCGAGGACACGAGGTTGCCCCGCCGTGCGCACCGCCGGCCTGCTCCGTGGCCAGCACCACGTTCTTGGCGCAGTGCGCCTCGTCGAGCGCTATGAGGCCCTGCGCGCTGCCCGCACCGCCGCGCAGCCAGTCGATCACCTGGCCCAGGCGAGAGCTCGTGGGGCTCTGGTCGTCGCCGCCGCCCCCGCGGGCCGCCACCAGCAGGGAGTAGTTGGCGAAGATCACGCCGTCGCCTGCGCCGCCGGCACGTGTCCAGATCCACTGCCGCGGGGCCGCTTGGTGGGGCCCGGAAAAGGTGGATATGGACATCTGCCCGCCCGTGCGGGCGGGCAGATGTGCGGCACCCCTCGGGATCCCCGGGCACAAACTCCGAAGCGGTGGCTGTGGACATCTTCTGGCGGTGGAGCGCCGCTCGCGGACAGGCCGCGGCCGCCCGAGATGGGCCCGTAGCCCCAGCTCGACAGCATGCTCACGGGCACGTCGCTGGCGCCCAGGTCGCGGAAATCCCGCCGCGCGTCCGCCAGGAGGTCCGCGCTGGCCGACAGCCACAGGTGGCGCCGCGCCCCGGAGTTCCACAGGTGCCACACGAGTGCCGCGACGACAGGGAAGCGCAGAACGGCATGAGCACAAGCTTTGGGCGCTCCGCGCGGATCTCTTGGGTCGGCGCCGACCACCCTCGCCCTGACTGGCGCGCTCCGCGCGCCAGGGAGAAGGTCCAGCGCCGATCCAACACATCTACGCGGGCCTCCGAGAGCTCATGCCTGCGCCGCTTCGACATCTCCGAGATGACCCGCCCCTTGCCGCAGCCCGTGCCGTCGCCCAGGTAGTACCCGGCCCGGGCGCCGCTCGGCAGGAGGGCGCGGAAGCGGCGCGCCGCGTACGCGGCGCTCTCCAGCTGCGGGCTGCTCAGGAGGCCCTCGGCCGCCACCCGGAGCGGCAGGCGGAGGACCTCTGCCTGGGAGCAGGGCTTCCCCGATCCCACAGCACGGCGGGGCGTGGCCCTGGCCCACGGGTCGACGTGCCCACCGCCAGGCGGGGCCGTGTGCCCGACCCGTCGGGCTCCGCGGAGCCTGTACCCGTCTGGGAGGGCGGGCTGGAGGAGCCGAGGTGCCATGGCCGCGTGGGGATGGGGACGGGTTCAGGGGATCATGCAATGGCATAATCATGAGGCCTGCGTGGAGTTCTCGGGTCGGCGCTGGACCCCCCGCCCTGGCGCGCGGAGCGCGCCAGGGGCGGCGCCGGAGGCGCCGCCAGGAGGGCCCCAGCAACTATCCGAGGAATCCGCGCGGAGCTCCGAGTTTAATGCTCATGTCTCATGTCTTTGTTTGTTCCCTGGATGTCAGCTCAGGACAGGTCATGGCCCAGTGGCAAGAAGGATAGGTTAGACGATGCTTCACTGCACCGACCTTGCAGACGTGCTGCAGCGGATACTTGGCGTGGAGTTCGGTCAATGCAAAAACCCGAAACGGCGAGCGAAAAACGAAGTGACTGTCACGTGGACGTTTCTTAGTCTTCATCCCTGGTCAAACAACATCCGCACGACATTCACATCGAGTCTGGAACGAAATTCTCCAGGACGCTCTGGGCCCATCCGATTATTTTCCGAACGAACTCCGCTCTGCGATGTTGGCGCCATGCGTGAATGGGCCCTGGGACACGCAAATGCATACGCACAAATCAAACGACTCCCAGATGTTCGTGTATCTTCTGGGCTGTTGTCTCCCCCCCCCACTTCCCATGTGTTCCCATATTTTTCGAAGGAATCGACGATGCATTGTGTCTGCGTGTTCCTGTCCCTCCTGAATGCGATGCTGTGCCTCCGACAGCTGGGGCAGGTCGATGTCCGCGATGGCCGAGGGCTCGGTCAGCGGATCCGGGTGCGCGGGCCCCAGGCGCACGGTGCGGGACTCGCGGAAGGCGCGCTGCGGCTGGGGCCCCTCCGCCGCGCCTGCCGCCGCGCCCTCCTGAGGATGAGCCATACGGGGGGCTCGCTCGAGAGGGAGGAGGCGGAGGAGGGCGAGGAGGAGGGGGAGGAGGAGGAGGAGGAGGAGGAGGAGGAGGAGGAGGAGGAGGAGGAGGGAGGAGGAGGGAGGAGGAGGAGGAGGAGGAGGAGGAGGAGGAGGAGGAGGAGGGAGGAGGAGGAGGAGGAGGAGGGGGAGGAGGAGGAGGAGGAGGGGGAGGAGGAGAAGGAGGAAGAGGAGGAGGAGGAGGGGGGGGGATCGACCTGGAATCGGCGCTGCGTCGCCGAGGGATCGACTGGAGAAAAACTTCGGTCCGGGATGTCCCCCCCTCTATATGCAGGTCGATCTTGGACGAAGAGTGGCACACGGTCAAGAAAAAAGCTCGGACATGGCCGGAGATGGTGGTAGAAAAATCGCCCCCAGGCTATCTCTTGACTAGTAAGTCGGGCCTGTCCCCCTACAGGGGGATGTTCGAAGATTTGTTTAAACAACCTCACAAATATCCCCAAAGGGTATCTTTTTTAGGTCACCTGACTATTGTCGGACTAGTTTTGATTATGTTGGGGGTATGTTTTAGTTTCGTCGAAGATCCCCCTGTAGGGGGACAGGCCCGACTTGAGACTAGTTTGGAACGCTCCTCCTGTGGAGGGGCAAGCCCGACTTGAAAGAGAAAGCCGCGCGAGTTTGGACGCCCGAAATGGGCACGGAAACGATGGGCACAGTGCCCAACAGCAAATGTTGTCCCGACCCAACAGCGGCCGCCGTTGGGCAGGCGGTCTTCTGTCTCAAATGGACACAGGCCGCGGCGGCGCGGACCGCGAGTCCAGTCCAAAATGAACAGGAACTGCTGTTGGTAGGGGGAAAACAAACCTCCCTCGCTTTTGACCACCCTCGCTTCCAAGAGATACCAAACGATGCCAAATTGCAGCCTGTACTGGTCAGACCGCTTGACGAGGAGGCGCGTGGTATGGCTTGGTTTTGCCTGGAAGCGAAAGCGGGGTAGGTAATTCACGCTCTGAGTTGGGCATCGTACCCATTCTTTCAGTACCCACTTCGGGCGTGCAGAGCGAGGGCGAGTGTCCGCGCGGTCCCGGGCGCGCGGGGCGGGCCCCCGGGCCCCCCCCCCGTCGGCGGCGAGGAGCGGGCGGCGGGAGGCCGACGCGCTCCCCCCGCCCCCCTTTGGGCCTGTGCCGTCGGGGCGTGCCGGCGAGAGGGCACGCGAGAGGACACGAGCGAAGGGGCCCCGGGACACAGATAAACAGGCGCAAATAAAAGGATTCCCCATATTTTCCCATAGGTTCTGGGTTTCTGTCTTCCCCCCCCACCTCCCATCTTTTCCTACATCTTCCTGGGAGTGGGCGATTCCTGGTGTCTGTGTGTCTCTTTTCCCCTCCTGAACGAGGCTCTTCCGACGGCCACATTCTGGAGGGCTTGTAACAACTTGCAGTCGGGGCTGGTTGGAGGGAGCACGCGGGAGGACACGAGACCCTTCCGAGGGCTACGCTGTCATATGGATGTGGAGGGCATGGGCCGCGAAGCACAGGACACGGGGGTGCCCTTGTCTGGGCAGGGCCGACCTGCTGATCGAACGCGACTGCATCCCCCCCCCAGCGCTGCCCCTGGCCAGGGGTCCGAAGTCGATCCCTGGACCTCTCCCTGGGGGGGGGGGGGGGGAACTCTGCCGAGAACCTCGAGGCAGATCCACTTGGGCGCCCGAGTTATCCGGGGTAACTCGGGCCCGGGGTAACTCGGGCTTGGATTCCCGAAAAGCGAACCCGAGTTAGCCCTGACCCGAGTTACCCCTGATGATTCGGGGCTCTGGACGCCCGAGTTGTCCGGGGTAACTCGGGCCCGGGGTAACTCGGGTTTGGATTCCCGAAAAAGGAACCCGAGTTAGCCCTGACCCGAGTTACCCCTGATGATTCGGGGCTCTGGACGCCCGAGTTGTCCGGGGTAACTCGGGTCCGGGGTAACTCGGGTTTGGATTCCCGAAAAAGGAACCCGAGTTAGCCCTGACCCGAGTTACCCCTGATGATTCGGGGCTCTGGACGCCCGAGTTATCCGGGGTAACTCGGGTCCGGGGTAACTCGGGCTTGGATTCCCGAAAAACGAACCCGAGTTAGCCCTGACCCGAGTTACCCCTGATGATTCGGGGCTCTGGACGCCCGAGTTGTCCGGGGTAACTCGGGCCCGGGGTAACTCGGGCTTGGATTCCCGAAAAGGAACCCGAGTTAGCCCTGACCCGAGTTACCCCTGATGATTCGGGGCTCTCCGGGGTAACTCGGGCTTGGATTCCCGAAAAACGAACCCGAGTTAGCCCTGACCCGAGTTACCCCTGATGATTCGGGGCTTCCCCGGGTAACTCATTCCCGAAAAACGAACCCGAGTTATCCCTGACCCGAGTTACCCCTGATGATTCGGGGCTCTGGACGCCCGAGTTATCCGGGGTAACTCGGGTCCGGGGTAACTCGGGCTTGAGTTCCCGAAAAACGAACCCGAGTTATCCCTGACCCGAGTTACCCCTGATGATTCGGGGCTCTGGACGCCCGAGTTATCCGGGGTAACTCGGGTCCGGGGTAACTCGGGTTTGGATTCCCGAAAAAGGAACCCGAGTTACCCTGACCCGAGTTACCCCTGATGATTCGGGGCTCTGGACGCCCGAGTTATCCGGGGTAACTCGGGTCCGGGGTAACTCGGGTTTGGATTCCCGAAAAACGAACCCGAGTTATCCCTGACCCGAGTTACCCCTGATGATTCGGGGCTCTGGACGCCCGAGTTATCCGGGGTAACTCGGGTCCGGGGTAACTCGGGCTTGAGTTCCCGAAAAACGAACCCGAGTTATCCCTGACCCGAGTTATCCCTGATGATTCGGGGCTCTGGACGCCCGAGTTATCCGGGGTAACTCGGGTCCGGGGTAACTCGGGCTTGAGTTCCCGAAAAACGAACCCGAGTTATCCCTGACCCGAGTTACCCCTGATGATTCGGGGCCCGGCCCTCCAGGCCTCCAGACCCGGGACCCAGCTCCTCCTCCTCCTCCTCCTCCTCCTCCTCCTCCTCCTCCTCCTCCTCCTCCTCCTCCTCCTCCTCCTCCTCCTCCTCCTCCTCCTCCCTCCCTCCTCCTCCTCCTCCTCCCTCCCTCCTCCTCCTGACGGAGCTGTCAGCAAACGGGTCGGCCTCGCCTCCCGAAGGCGAGCGACCCTTTGAGGGAACCCTGGGACACACAAATAAATGCACACAAATAAAAGGATCACCCATATTTCCCCATCTTTTTGATGTCTGTCCTCCCCCCCGCTTCCAATATGTTCCTACATTTTCTGAGGAGTTGACGATTAATTGTGCCTGTGCGTTTCGTTGCCTCCTGACTCTTGCCCAGCCGAGAATTAGGTCGGGCATGTTCACCTACAGGCGGATTTGGGACGAAAAATAAAAAATGCAAAGAAAAAATGGTCAAACATCTTCCCCTGGCTATTGCTTGACTATCTTTAAAGATTCATCCTGAAGAGGGCCAGGCCCGACTGAAGCCGAGAACTCAAAACCAGCCAGCAGTGCCCTCCCTCGCCAGCCGCCGAAGCAGGTGGTCGCGAACGTTCTGGATCCGCCATCCCCAGACGGCGTGGTCGCGGCGCTGGTCACAACGAACCTGAATCGGCCGGCAGCCCCGCCCCTGGTCCCCGAGGTCCTGACCGACCTCGCTTTTGCCGCTTGCTCATCGCATCAGGGCCCCCGGCGATCTTCACGGGCACGGCCAGGCAGCCCAAACGCGTTGACGGGCGGGAAACCGTGCTCCACAGGGCTCGCAGAAGGAGGCGCGACCTGGAAGGCCAGCGGCCGGTCCGCTGGGGAAAAGTGCGCCCGAGCCATGGCGGTCCGATCGTCCGGCGACAACGTGGACCTGCAGAGCCCTCCCCGCTGCATGGCGCACGCACGCCGCGCACGTTCAGACAGACACGCAAGTTTCCTCTTGCCAAACGGCCCCCTCAAGGCAACGGGAATCAGCACCGCGACCTCGCGAGGACCCGCCGCAGCCGTGCGTGCCATGGCCGGCTGCTCGGTGTTCAAGTCCGTCCCGCGCTGGCCTCTGGCGAGCAGCGCCGACACGAGGCCAGCTGCGGGAACTGTAAGCTCTCGACGCTCATGCTCAGCACCGCGTGGGCCTGAAACCGCGGCTCGTCTCTGCGCCTCCCGTCTGAGTATCGTTCAACCGATCCCCATCCCTGGCGGCGTGGCCTGGGCCCCACTGGCCGCCTTACCCCCCTGGATGGGGATATGGGTCGCTCCCTTCGGGTTTCGAGGGGTGTATCCCCAACTGGGGTGGTAATTCGGTGGGGGACCTCGAGGGGGATGGGCATGGGCATGGGGGTCGGTGAAACTGAAGGGGCCCTGGGACACACAAATAAATACACACAAATAACAGGATTCCCTATATTTTCTAATATTTTCTGTGTTTTTGTCTTCCCCCTCCCCCCCCACTTCCCATATTTTCCCATATTTCCGGGGGAATCGACCATTAATTGTGTCTGTGTGTTTTTCCCCTCCTGAGAAACGGCACCGACCGTCGCCCCCCCCGCGGCCGGGAGCCCGCCTCCCAACCCCACCGTGCTCGGGGGCGCGCCGCGCGCCGGGCCGCAGAGGCGGCGCCCCCCGCGGGCCGCAGAGAGCAAAACGAGGGCTCCCAACTGCGCGCTTCGCGCTGCGCGAAGCGCGAAGTGCGAACAACTTCGCGCTCTCGCGCCGCCTCCCAGGGGAGGAGGAGGAGGAAAGCACGCCCTGCCGCAGACGTTTTGGACGCCCGAAAAGGGTACGGAAAAAAGGGGCACAATGCCCAACAGCAAATGTTGTCCCAAACCAACAGCGGCCGCCGTTGGGCAGGCGGCCTCCTGTCTCAAATGGACACAGGCCGCGGCGACACCGACAGCGAGTCCTGTGCAGAATGAGCAAGAACTGCTGTTGGGCATCGTGCCCGGCATCTCCGTACCCATTCCGTTCGCACCGAGCAGCGAGCAGAAGCACGCCCTGCCGCAGCCGTGCGGCCGTCCCCTCCGCCGGGGCCGGACGGCGGGCCCACGAGGCCGCCACGGCCCTGCCGCTGCGCCCCGCCGGGGCCGCGGGGCCCCGTGCGGAGGGCGCGCTGCTGCCTGCCTTCGGCCACCTGCTTGCACGCGCCCCGGCACAGCCAGACCGGGCTGGGCGAGCACCCCGTCCGCGGCCATCGGTGCCCTCGTGCGCAGAGGAAAGAGAGCTATGCACATGCACCGATGCTGGCCGGGCCCATCCTGAGCCCAGGATCGGTGCAGACGCCCTCTGCCCTTGGCCAGAAGGTGTATGCACCGATCCTGGGTCAAGGATGGACGTTGTCAGGATCGGTGCATGTGCATAGTTCTCTTCGCCCGATCGGTGCCCTCGTGCAGCGGCAGCGCATCCTGCTGCGTCGGCCAGGTGCCCAATCGCCGCCGTCCACCACGCGGCGCTGCTCGACCGTGAGCCCTGCCTCGCCATCCCGGCCGCCAGTGTGCGAGGGAGTGCGGCGCCCGAGCAGGAGGGGCGTCGGTAAGCGGAGGCGGGGTGAAGCCCGGCGTGCCGCCCAGGCTCAATCCGCAAGGCCCATCGAAGCCTGGCGGCGCCTTGAAAACAGATGGCACGGTCGGGCCTGGGACAGAAGAGCATCTTCAAGAACATGAGACCCTCCGCCCCCAAAAACACACGGAACATCCAAGGGTACCCTTCCCCAGGGTACACAAGAACATCCAACCAGCACGAAAAACATTCAGGTGCACTCCTCGAACCGACCTCGATCTGATACCTCGGTCCGACCGTGGGTCGAAAACTTCCCTGCCGCCGCACCGCCCAACCCTGGTGGCACCTCTGCTGCAGGCTCTCCTCAGCCAGAGGCCACCGCAGCACAAGCGCCGCATCTGCCAGCCCATCGGCGCTGCTCCCGCGCGCGCGCGCTGAGAGCGCCACCGACCTCGCGGCAAGCCTCAATCGCGCACACCGTCCCAAAGCAGGAGCACCCTGCCGCCCGCCAGGCTCCAGCGGAAGCCCATGCAGCACTGTGGGCCCTGCAGGCCCAGCCCGTGCTCGCGGCGCCCGGTGCTTCTCCTCGGCGCGCCCACAGGTCGGGCACGGCAGCCTCCTCTGAGCACGCGGCCCTGGCGCCAGCCGTGGCCTGCTGGGCTCGTGAGCCCGCGGCCGCACAGGGAGCGGCAGATCGCGCGGCCCCGGGGGTCCCGCCACCGTAGGGGTGATCTCGGACCACAGACGACTGCAGCTCGCTACTGGTGCAGGAGCCATGAGAACACCACCGCCGTCGTAACCATACCCACCACTGCGAGCATGTGTAGCGCGGCGAAGCGGCGCTGCATTGCATGTCGACTTGTATGCGACTGGTTACGACGCTCTGACATGGAGAAGGGATTCCTAATGTGCCTCTGCGTGGCCTCAACTCTTCGCCTCTCAGGTGTCGCTCTAAGACTCACTGTGTCCCGCGGCCGCGTCGGTCGTCGCCGTCGTCGCCGTCGTCGCCGGCGCCGACCATCGTCGTCGTCGTCGTCGCCGCCGATCTTCGCCGTCCGCCCTCCTGACATAACCCTGAAGGCACCCGCAACAGCTGCAGCCGTTCGGCTACAGTGGCCCCACATCCTTCGGTGCCGGCTCGACCAGCGCTGGCGGCCAGCTCCTGCGCAGGAGGGGGCCCAGAGGAGAGAACAGGAGTGCAACCGCGGCGATCTCCGTCCTGCTTGCAGGGAGGCCATCGGAGCGCCAGTATGGCTCACGCGCAGAGATCTCATGGTGGGGGAGAGGAGGCGGAACTCTTGCGCTGCCCCCGTGGGAATGGCTGAAGGGACAAGAACAGGGCGTGCATGACTGGTCAGCGTTGCCGCGTGACCCGCCCCACGACCCGCCTCCATCCGCGCACGCTTGTGTAGAACACACCCGCCCCAGACCCGCCCCGCGACCCGCTTCTGTCTTTCTGCTGTTTGGTGTGCAACCCACCCGCCCCAAACCCGCCCCGCAACCCGCCGCCCTCAGTGCACGCCAGTGTACAACCCACCCGGCCCCGACGCGCCCCGCGACCCGCTTCCCTCGTGGCGTTTGGAACACACCCAGCCCCAAACCCGCACCGCGACCCGCTTTTTGGTGTGCAACCTGCCCGCCCCTGACGCGCCTTGCGACCCGCCTCCCTCCGTGCGCGCTGATGTAGAACCCACCCGCCCCAAACCCGCCCCGCGACCCACTCCCGCTGTTTTTTGTTATGGTGTGCAAACAACCCGCCCCCAACACGCCCCGCAACCCACCTCCCTCCGCGCGCGCTGGTGTAAAACCCACCCGCCCCCAACCCGCCCGACGACCCGCTTCCTTTTTCGTGTTGAAAACCACACGGCCCCGACCCGCCCCGCGACCCGTTTCCGTCTTTGTTTGGTGGTGCGCATCCTACCCGGCCCCCGACCCGCCCCGCAACCGCCTCCGTGCGCGCCGGTGCAGAACCCACCAATTCCCGACCCGCCCCGCGACCCGTTTCCGTCTTTGTGTTCTGGACTGCAACCTACCAGCCCCCGACCCGCCCCGCAACCCGCCTCCCTCCGTGCGCGCTGGTGCAGAACTCACCCGCCCCAGACCCGCCCCGCGACCCGACTCCCTCTTGGCGTTCTGGTGTGCAGCCGACCCGCCCCGGACCCGACTCGCGACCTGCCTCCCTCCGTGCGCGCTGGTATAAAACCCACCCGGCCCCGACACGACTCGCGACCCGCCGCCCCCCGTGCGCGCCGATGTAGATCCCACCCGCTCCCGACTCGCCCCGCGACCCATTTGCGTTTTTGTTCTGGACTGCAACCTACCCGCCCCATACCCGCCCCCGCGATCCGCCTTCCTCCGTGCGCACTGATGTAAAACCCGCCCAGCCCCGACCCGCCCCGCGACGAGTTTCCCTCTTGGCATTATGGCGTGCAACCTACCCGCCCCCGACCCGCCCCGTAACCTGCCTTCCTCCGCGCGCGCCAGTGTAGAGCCCCCCAGCCCCGACCCGCCCCACGACCCGCTTCCCTTTGGCGCTTTGTTGTGCCAACCTACCCGCCCCCGACCCGACCCGTAACCCGCCGCCATCCGTGCGCGCTGGTGTACAACCCACCCGCTCCGGACCCGCCCCGCGACCCGCTTCCGCCGCGGTGCATTGGAAATGCCAACCTACCCGCCTCACACCCGCCCCGCGACCCGCCCCCTTTCCGCGCGCGCTGGTGTAGACCCCACCCAGCCCTGGCCCACCCCGCGATCCGCTTCCTTTGTGTTTGGAACACACCCAGCCCCTGACCCGCCCCGCGGCCCGCTTTCCCCGTGGCGCTTTGGCGTGCAACTTGCCCGCCCCCGACCCGCCCCGCGACCCGCCTCCCTCGGTGCGCGCTGGTGCAGAACCCACCCGCCCCAGACCCGCCCCGCGACCCGCTTCCGTCTTTGCGAACTGCCGTGCAACCGACCCGCCCCAGACCCGCCCCTTGACCTTCCTCCCTCCGCGCGCGCTGTTACAAAACCCACCCGGCCCCGACACGACTCGCGACCCGCCGCCCCCCGTGCGCGCTGATGTAGATCCCACCCGCCCCCGAGGACAACTACGCCCCAAACCCGCCCGGCGACCCACTTCCGCCGATTCGTTTCGGCATGCAACCTACCCGCCCACAACCCGCCCCGCGACTCGCCTTCCTCCGTGCCAGCTTCTGTAGAACCACACAACCCCAACCCGCCCCGCGACCAGTCTCCCTCTATGCGCGCTGATGTAGGACCCACTCACCCGCTCCAGACCCGCCCAGCGACCCGCTTCCCTATTGGTGTTCTGATGTGCCAACCTACCTGCCCCGACCCGCCCCGCGACCCGCCCCCCTCGGCGCGCGCCGGTGTAGAACCCATCCGCCCCAGACCCGCCCCGCAACCTGTTTCAGTTTATGTGCTTTGGTGCGCAACCGACCCGCCGCCGAACCGAACCGCGAACCGCTTGCCGCCGTGCGCGCTGGCGTGGGTACCATCCGTCCCAGACCCGCCCCGCGACCATTTTCCGTTTTCGCGTTCTGGTGCGCAACCTACCCGCCCCCGACCCGCCCCGCGACCCGCTTCGGTATAGCAACCACCCAGCACCGACCCGCCCTGCGACCCGCCCCCCTCTTGGCGTTTGGACTCACACGGCCCCGACCCGCCCAGCGACCCGTTTCCCTCTTGGTGATTTGGTGCGCCACCTACCCGCGCCCGAACCCGCCCCGGGACCCGCTTCAATCCGCGCGCGCTGGCGTAGACCACGCCCAACCCCGACCCGCCCTGCGGCCCGGCTCCCTCTGCAATGGTCCCGCTGATAGACCACTGGCCTGATACAATCCAGAATGCTGATCTCCCTTCTCACAAGATATCAAACCAAGATACTAATCTCTCGTCTCTCTCGATGATGTGTGTGAGGTCGTCGATCTTGCGGAATCTGGGGCAGTGTCAGTGCGACCCTGGTCGCACGATGGTGATGAACAGGATCTACATTGGCGGGCAATTCTCTGCTCTGCGTCTCCCAGACGCACACCAGTCAGTCCAGCGCCGCTGTGACGCTGCAAAGGCTTGAGCCAGAACGGTTTCGGATGAACCTGTTCTGGGATATTATAATGGGGATCTCGGAAGATCCCGGAGGGCCTACTAAGCAAGGCTGGCTGCAACCTGGAGGCTAAAGGGGGCCCGATTCGCCAGGATACGCAGGGATACATAAAAGAGGCCCCTGTGGAGTCTGATCCTATACATATGTCACGCTCGGCCTCTAGGGGCAATCTGAGGTAAGTAGGTTCTAGATAGGCAGGCTCTGGGCTGTGAATTGCATGCCCAAAAGCTAAAGATCGATGTTACGGCATCGAGGCCTGCCGCTGGCGGCTGAATTCACAGGAAGCACACAAAGCAATTGAGCTTCCTCACTGCGCCCCACAGGGCTGCATCTCCAGCAGAGCTGTCCTGCTCGTCGGGGTTGTCGCGTAGTCCAAGAGCTGCCGACTCGCTCTTCTCGATAGCGTCGTAGCCCGACCTGCCGTCTGTGACTAGCACGCCAGGGCAGGATGAGATGGCGTCGTTCACGTGCTGCTTGTTCGTGTAGTCCACTTGGCCGCACTCCAACTCATGGATGAACAGACGCACGTAGCTGATCTCGTCTAGGGTCTCCGTCATCATCTGAACCTCCGCACTCGTACAGCTTCTCGCGACTCGCGGTAGTTTGCACGATCTCCATGAAATAGGTGCCACCGTCTCAGTCGAGCCGCTCAGGAAAGACAGCGGGGCCAACACGATCATCTCGCCACCCTGGGACTCGCCGGTGACACGGGCAGCCCAGGCTGCATCGCCCCAGCCAACCACAGCGATATGCTCAATGGCGGGGATGAGCATGACCACGTCGGCAGCATCGTTCATGGTGCGGATGAGCTTGTTGGTCTTCTGGATGGTCGAGACCGTAGCCGCAGGTATCTCCGCTTGAAGTAGAGAGACTTCAGCACTTAGCCACGGGGCGGACTGTTGAGCTCGCCAGCCGACTGTACCAAGTCGCCCTCGTGAGTATGATCTCTCTTTGTCCGAGACTCCGTCTGTAGGTTTCCGTCCACGTCGTATCTCGATGGGCTCCACGTTCAGGCTGTAGCTGTCCTGTGCGAGACTGCAAGTGAAATCCTCGTTCTGACGGATGCTGATACCGCGCTGCACGAATGCTCGGCTTTCCCAGGGGGTCCACTCGAATGCTTGTTGGATCTCTTGTCGCTTCTTGAGAAAGCCCGCGTGAGTATGATCGCCGGCAATCATCATGTCGTCAGAGTGTAGGATGGCCATGCCGACCAGCTTAGTGCTGTCTCGGATGGCCCAGACGCATGGCTCGCACTGTCTCACTTCCAGCTGCAGCATCTTGAGCATTTCTTTGAAATCTAGCCACCACTTGCGAGGGGCATGTACGAACCCGTACACCGGCTTGAGAAACTGCAGGACCTCGTCGTCTTTCATGCCGAAGGCCTGACGCACGTGCTTCGGATGGTCCGCGTAGGTCTTCCGCTTCTCCTCGCCCGTTTCTCCCTGGAGGAAGGCAGTAACGGCATCGGCCTTCTCCAGCTTCCACTTGTGTCTCGCTGCCATGGGAAGTAGAAGTTGACGTGCCCGTCGCGATGCAAATGGACACTCCGTCCGTAAATGAAGCAGGTCGGGGCCGCTAAAACCGAGCACGACCTATCTGGCCTTGCCCCTGAGCACGTTGCCCTTGTCATCCTTCTTCCAGGTCAGCACGAAACGGCAGCGCAACGGACGCGCTGGGACGATCCCCTGTCGACTAAGGATCCTGGCGGCTTTCGTGCTAAGGACGCAGGTGCACTCCTTCTGCTGCGCCTCGAGTAACAGCTTCTTCTCCTCTGGGGCCGCCTTCTTGAATGAGACTTCGACTCGGCCCTGCCGGGCCTGCGATGCCACGAAGTTGCTGGGGTCGCCCATGTAAGCCATGAGCGTGTGCTCGCTGTTGGCAGGGATGTCCAGCACGATGAGCTCGTCGTCCTCCTTGACCTCGTCATGCGGCTGGACGCCGTAGGCATAGCCCCCGAAGAAGTTACCCTCCTGCCGGTAGTACGAATAGTCCTCCTGGGTCGCCAAGTTGATCCGCTGCTTCTTGATCGGAGGCTCCGTAGATCCTGGCGATCGTAGCCGACGCTTGTCATTGTCGCTCGGCGCCGTCGTCTCGTCCAACTCATCGTCCGTGTCCGCGGCCAGAGGTTGCTGAGCGGCGGGTGGTTCTTGATCGTCATCTGGAGGAGCCTCCATGATGATTTCATCTTCTGCAGTCGGTTCGGCTTCGGCTGGCTGCCCAGCTTCGCGGTCTTCAGTCTGTGGAATACCTGGTGGAGGTTCTGGTGGTGCTGGCTGGGTGAAAGGTTCCTGGGCCTCGGTAGCCTTATCCCAGGGATTGCACTTCCTCCGCGGTCGCCTTGGCGGTCGCGGGCCTGGGAGCGATCGTTCCTCGAGGCCCGGCGGGGCTGATGGGGCCCCACCGCCTCCGCCACCACCTGGGCCCACGCTCCGAGGATCTCCTCGTGGAACAGGTTGGTCCTCGTCTTCAGGGATGGCCCCGGGTCCATTTGCGTTATTCTGGAAGGTGCGGGCGCTGACCGACTCTCCGTCGTCAGTGGCAAGGTCCTCACCAGTGGGTGGGGACGCGTTCGACAGGTCGATCACCTCGTTCGTGTCGAGCTGCTTCTGGACGTCGCCGAATACCCATGTCCCAGGCTGCTCGCGGCGCGAGCGCAGCGACGCCATCGCCTCCTCGGAAGGTGCGGCGGGCCGAAGTTGTTCGGGAGCAACTCGGTAGAGTCGCCCAGCTAGCGCGATGTTGACCACTGTCCCAGGCAGACCAGGTCGATGTCCTGATCAGGCAGGCTCATGGCAGAGTACTCGTCCAGGTCCGTACCAGCGGCCTCGTCCTGGCATGGATAGGGGTTGTCCTTTCTTGCGCCAGGCTCCTGGTGGGAGCCGCTGGTAGACGAATACCAGGTCGCCCGTCTCGTACTTCTTGAACGATCTGAATCTTGCGGCCTCCGCACCCTTGACTCGGTCGGAGTTCTCCGTCTGGATGTGAGCTAGCCGTGCCATCCGTCGTACTTGAGCGTCCCTGCTGAAGGTGCCGTCCTGCAGCTCGGCGCTGATGAGCGGCAGGTTGGTCGGCTCGTCGAAGAGGTTGACCGCGGTGCCAGTGGGTGTCCGTCCCGCAGAGCGCTGCAGCGGACTGAAACCGTCGACCCTGATCAGGTCGTTCCTGGCTGCTAGCTGTAGTCCGAACATCTCACTCGTGGGAACTTCAGCTGAGATCATGTCGTCGAAGGCGTCAACGGCCTCCTTGAACGCTTCGATGGCTCGTTCGATCTTGCCGATCTGCCAGTGGGCGTCGGCAGCGCATGGGAGGCAGTAAACCCCCTGGCACTCGATCCACTCGCGGAACTCGTCGGAGATGGCGCTCCCGGCGGGATCATAGCGCATGACCTTCGGCCGCCCCATCCAAGGGAACCATTTCGTAGCTTTATCGTCGATAAGCCGCACGTAGAGCTTGTCCGAGCCAGCGCCGAGGATCGCTAGCGCCATCACGTTGGCGTTCGTGCTGCGACGGATCCAAGAAAAGGCGTCGAACAAAACTTCGTGGCCATTCTGAGGCCGCTCTGCTGAGGAAGCTGGTGGCCGCTTCGTCGGTGGCCGGTGAGCATCGCAGGCGTCGCACTTGAAGGTTCTGGCCAACCGTAGCACCTCAGGTCTCGCACCTCGGTCTCGTACGTAGCGTAGAAGATGTGCTCGAGGTAAATGTCCCAGGCTGGTGTGAACCAGCCTGATGTAGCTCTCGAGCTTCTTGACTGCGTCGCTGGTGAGGTCGCGCGACTCCTTGCCATCTAGTGGTGGAATCGATGTCTCGTCCCCCTCTGGAGTCGGCTCAGTAGGTGGCTGCTGGGTAGCGGCCATGCAGAAACAATGCACGACCTCTTCTTCGAAGTAAGTATGATTCTGGCTCTTGGTCAGAGCTCGGAGGATCCGGCGGCACAGCATCCTGGGATAGGAGCCCGAGGCCTCGGTCCTCAGACTGCTCTCGATCTCCTCATGATAGTGTCCTCCACGGCATTGCAGCGGCTGGAGGGCCGCCCAGCTCCTCTTGTCGTTGACAGGAACTTCCAGCGCTTTTTCATGAGCTCGCCTTCGCCCTGGGCTTTGAGTCCGCAGGCGCAGCCGTCTACGATCACCTCGTAGGGGGGAATATTGCGCAGGTCCTTCCAGCAGGGTCTTCTGCCATGAACGACTGTTGCGTGGCTGCTCGGCGAGGGCCGAGCCATTCAGGTGAAGCACCTGATGCTCGATGAGCCTCTTGTTGTTCTCGAAGATCCGCTGGCTCTTGAGTCGCTTCTTGCGCAGATTATCCTTCTGCTTGTCGTCGCGCTGGTTGATATTCTGCATAATCGACCACGGCCCGCAGGGAGGTGTGCTGACGAGGAGCTCTGGGCGCCTCTCGTCCAGCAGGAGCTTCGCCTTGTGGTAGCCCTGCGGCTTGCTGAGGTCGCAGTTGTTGAACAGGCCGAGTCTCTCGTAGTGGTAGCCCTTCTCGTCGCAGACCTGGCCAAGGTTGGAGTCCTCGTGGGCGCGCGCCTCGACCATCGTCAATATGCCGAAGGTCGTGAGAGCGCACATAACTCCGAAGATGGCCGACCTCGTCGAGTGGGTAGCTGCACGACTGACCTGACGCTGATGGCCTCTCAGTGGGTGGCCCTCGTCGCTTCCCCAGCGTAGCTTCTCGGCCTGAATGTCACTCAGGTCCTCGCCCTGCCCCCGCACGCCTGGTGGCACCACCCGAAGGGCCTCACCTTCACGATCGGCTCGTTCTTCGCGATGCCCCGCTGCTGCTGACAGTCTGGGCGCTGGCACATCTGCGTGTAGCGCGCTGGGATCGCCCGGCCCACAACGATAGGCCCCGTCTCCACCTTCTTGATCTCCGGCTCCTTCCTGACCCTGATCGTCGCTGCCACCGTTCCGCGCTGCTCGTTGATGCACGCGATGAGCCTGTCGCTCACCTCCTCCTTCTTGCCGGACTGCGTCAGTCCCCAGGTCTTGCACAGGGGTTTCAGGTGATTGACCACCGTCACCATGTTGAGCTTCTCGTAGATCTGTTCCGAGCTGAGCGCTGCAAACGCATCCACCGTCGCATACATGGTCGAGATATCGGACTTTGCGGTCTCGACGTTGGCCCGCAGCTCCTGGTTCTGCTCTCGCGCGGCCGCGGATGCGGCTGACCTCTGCTTCGCCCCCGCCCCGGGGCGCCGTGGCTCGATCTTCGCACGATGCCCGAGTTCTGCCGGCCAGGTCGGGTGCTTCTCGGGCAGCAGCTGCACAGGGAGGCCGATGCTGCCCAGCTCCCAGGGCACCCCGTCGATTGCCTGGAGGAAGACCTTGATGATGACCCGCCCCAAGCGGCGGCACATCGCCCACTGCTTCAAGAGCTTGCTGGACCACACCTCCCAGGTCGGCAGGTGCCACAGTAGGAAGGTGTCCGTCAGGCGCTTCAGGCTCTTGTCCAGTTCCGAGCCCTCGACAGTGCAGAATATGTTCCCCCTCGTGTCCTGATGCTGGATCAGACGAGCCGAGGGCGGCATCGGCTGCGTAGGTCTCGTTGACGTCGGAGGGCGAGTCGGAGCGCCTGAATCCAGTGGCGGCACCGCTTCCCCTGATCCGACCATCTCGTCGTTCTCCAGCTTCACCTGCTGGCTCTCGGCTTTGCGGCATTTCGCCTCGCGGTTGAGGCACCTGCGAATATGGAAGAAATGCTTGTTGCTGGAATCTGAGCTCTGGGCTCGGATCTATTGCGCCATAAATGGCTCTGGAAGGCGGGGGCGTTGGGGTCTGATGCTCCGGGAACTTGGGGGTCTCTGGAAGAGCCTCTGCAGGTGTTCCTCATAATGTCATAGTGGGTGCTGTAGGGGGCGATTCTGATGATGTCCATGACGTTTGTAAGGATGATGTCCCCGTAGTCGCAGGTAATGATGATGCCCCCGTAGTCCCAAGTAATGATGATGCCCCCGTGGTCGTAGGGAATGATGATGTACCCGTAATCGTAGGTAATGGCGATGTACCTGAGGCCTGTGGGGCCCCATTGTCTGGGGCCTCGTCGGGGACCTCGCGGGGCGCGGCTGCAGACGGTCAAGATATCTCGCTTTGGACTGGCTGCTTATTTTCAAGTTTTTCCTCCAGCACCGCAGCAGTCTCGGGCGCCGAGGGCGCGCGCCCCTACTCGAGGGATGCCGCAAAGCAAAAATCGGCTTGACGTACAAGTGGCAGTGCAAGGCGGCCGCTTGGAAGGACGAGCAGCTCAGCTCGGCGCCCGAGCTTCTTGAAGTAAACAGCGCGCGCCTCGCTGTCAATCACAGCCCCAAGGCGGCTCAGCGCGCCCACTCCGATCAGAAGCGGGGCGTCTGCGTCGAGGATGTTGATCTCTAGCTCGCCGTCCACACCGGCGATCATGAGGGGGGAGGTCGCCTTGCCGGCGCAGGTCCCGGCACTGCCGTCGCCAAATATAAACGTACTCTTCTGACTAACGTCCATATTGATGTTCTTGTCCGTCTGCTCGTAGATAATGTCGCGTAGGTTCTCGGCGGCCTCTACGCCCATGATGCCGGAGGTCGCGCCGACGTCGAGAATGCCGAAACCCTTGGAGGAGCTCTGATTGACACTCATGAGAACCCAGTCCTCGGCCTTCTCCAGGGTGGACCAGGTCGGTACTTCCCGCGCTGGACTCGTTCTCGCAGGTCGATGGCCATTTCGATCGGCATGTAGGAATCCTTGTCCAGCTGCTTCTTCTGGTTGGCGGTCTTCGGCCAATTCTTGATCACTGGCTTGTTGGCAAGGGGCGCTTCCAACCGCAGCCTGGACATCTCGTTCGTGATGGGGTCAGCGTCCACCTCGGCATCCTGCTCGGCGCCGAAGAAGACGAAAGCTCCGAGTCCCTTTGTGCGTCGGTCTCGGTCGCCCCGGCTGCCAGTGGAAGATGCGCGTTCTCGATCTCGATGATGCTTGGTCTCGCGGTTACCGCCGCACTTCAGACACGGTCCTTTCCTGGGAGGCCGGCAGTGGGAGCGATCTCCTTCTGGTCGGGGTGGTCCGTCACGTCGCTATCCGCGCCCGCGGCCTCGTCCCTTGGATGGCCCTGAGCCTCTGGATCCAGCCCGGGGCCCTGGCGGTTTGCGATGTCCGCTTCGGTATTCTCGCTTCTTGTTCTCATCCACGGGGTAGAATTCCTTGGCGGTCTTCACTCGTCTCAATAAATCTCGGGCCTCCTCGAAGCTTCTCTGCTGGGCGGCGAAAGCGGTCTCGGCTTCCTCGATCTCCCGGGGAGTGTAGAGCGGCCCCTTGGGGTCTTCGTCACCCTCCTCGTCGCCCTGGTCGTCGTAGGTCGCCTCGGACTCGTGCTCTTCGTAGTAGCTGTAGCCATCGCCCCCCTCGCTGTTCGCTTCCCAGCCGGCATGGATTCGCCCCCGTTCTCGGTGACAGAAGTCCTTGCCTTGCTTCTTGTCCCGATTGGTCAGCTCATCATCTGGCTAGGAAACGCGCAGCTGCTCTCCGATGCTGTCGTAGTCGAAATTACCCTTGACTGCGCTGATGACTGCTGCCCGCTCCGTCGGTGTCAGTAGCGATCGCTGTAGCAGTAGCCATCCGCGCAGCTGGTCTAGGAGGATCGCCTGGTTGAAATCCGTCCCGAAGTCGGGATGCTCTGGGATATCCTCAAGACCCGTCTTGACGAACCTCCAGAGCGAAGTGCTCAGCTCCTTGGCCTTCTCTGCAGCGTCCTCCGGGCCCTCCTGCTCGATCTTGTACAGGAACCAGTTGAGCTCTCCGTAGAGGTTGTTCCACTCCTTGGCTCTCTCCGAGAGTCGGGCTGTGCGCTGCTTCTTGAAATACTCGGTGTCGAACCCCCTGACCACGTCATGATAGGCCTCATCATCTCTGCTGATGTAGCTCTGCATCGGTTCTCCGGTGTCCCGTCGTAAATCAAAGATCCATATGGCAAGATACTTCCCTGCGTCCTGGATGGGCTGAGCACCGAGCTTCTGTCGAACGTGTCTGAGCAACTCAGTAGCGCCATCGTCCTTCTCGATGCGGTCCCAGTTGACGTCCTTTGCGGCTTGTCTCGCTCGGCCTTCGAGTCGTCTCCATAATCGTGGGCCGCACACATAGCGAACGTCTCGACGGGTCCCTCGTATGTAGGCCTTCACATCTCTTTCGTAGTCATCCACCGTGGTCAGGTCTCCATTCCACTTCGGTACGATACCGTCTCCGCTATTCTTCGCCAGTGCGTGGAATCTGTCCGTGAATCTATGTCCGTGGAGCGATTGCTCCGCCACCATGCAATGGACCCGCAGATAGACCACCGCTCTGGTACAATCCAGATTACTGATCTCCCTTCTCACAAGATATCAAACCAGGATACTAATGTCTCGTCTCTCTCGATGATGTGTGCGAGGTCGTTGATATTGGGGAATCTTGGGCAGTGTCAGTGCGACTCTGGTCGCACGATGGTGATGAACAGGATCTGTATTGGCGGGCAGTTTTCTGCTCTGCGTCTGCCAGACGCACACCAGTCAGTCCAGCGTCGCTGTGATGCTGCAAAGGCTTGAGCCAGAACGGTTTCGGATGAACCTGTTCTGGGATATTATAATGGGGATCTCGGAGGACCTCGGAGGGCCTACTAAGCAAGGCTGGCTGCAACCTGGAGGCTGAAAAGGGGCCCGATTCGCCGGGATACGCAGGGATACATAAAAGAGGCCCCTGTGGAGTCTGATCCTATACATATGTCACGTCGGCATCTAGGGGCCATCTGTGGTAAAGAGGCTCTAGATAGGCAGAATCTGGGCTGTGAATTGCACCCTCTGGGTGTTCTGGAGTGCAAACGACCCGCCCCCGACCTGCCCCGCGACCCGCCTGTCTCCGTGCGCGCTGGCGTAGAACCCACCCGCCCCTGACCCGTCCAGCGGCCCCGCTTCCGCGACCCCGCTGGCGCAGAACACACCCACCCGCCTACAACACGCCGACACGCCAACGACCCGTGCGCACAGCTGGCGCCTGCGGCCCGCGCCCCGCGAGCCGCGGCCCGCGGCCTGCTTGCCCCCGCGGCCTTCCCTGCCCATGGCCTGCGCCAGCTGCGGCCAAGCCCGTGACCCGCGCGCGCGACCCGCGCGCCCGCGGCCCGATCCCGCTCCCGCTGCCACGACACAACCACGATCCGTCCGCGACCCGCCAGAGACCTGTCCGCCCTGATGCGAAGAGACCAGGGATACGCCGCCTGCGCTCTGTGCCCGAATGCGAAGCCTATTGAGTACGCAAGCGCACGCTCGCCACCCGAAGCCAACGCCACATGGTTCAGGAAAGCCTGCGCCTGCGACGGGCTGCTCTGTCATGCTGTGGCCCGTGGCCCTCCCACATCGCACGCGCCCGCACGTAAGGGGGGCTGGTCTGCCCCATCGTGATGGGTTCGCGAAGGCTCCGCCCCAAGCAAGGCAGCTCGGGCACACCCTCATCCTTAGCCGCACGCGTCGGAGCATATGCGTACCTAGAGGAAGCGACGAGGAAAGCGAGAGAGAGAGAGGGGGAGAGAGAGAGAGAGAGCAAGAGAAAGAGAGAGAGAGAGAGGGCGTGAGAGGGAGAGAGAGAGTGAGAGAAAGAGATAAAGAGATGAAGAGAGAGAGAGAGAGGACGAAAACGAAGACGGAAACGAAGATGAAGACGATGACGAAGGCGAAGACGAATTATCACCGTGCGACCCTACCTAGGAGTTGGAGCACCTAGGAAAGCAGCATCTACATCTACACCGACAGCTACAGTAACATCTACACATGCATCTACATATACATCAATATCAACAGCGAGACTCACATCTACATCTACATACACACCTATATCTACACCTACATTTACATATACATCTACATATACACATACATCCACATCTACACCTACCGTTACCTCTACATCTACGTCTACAATGTCGCATGGGTGTTGATGTTGCTATGGTATGGCATGACATGTTATGTCATGTTATGTTATGATTGGCTAATATATGATTTGATGTGCTAATGGTGCGCTGAGCTATGCTGCGCTGCGCTAAGCTAAGGTAAGCTAAGCTATGCGTCGCTATGATGTGCTGTGTCATGCTATGCTGCGCTATGCTCTGCTATGCGATGTTATACTGCGCTATGCTATGCTATGTTAGGCTATGATATGATATGATATGCTACGCTGTGCTGTGCTATGGTATGCTATGCTGCGCTATGCTATGCTATGCTATGCTGTGATGTGCTATGCTATGCTATGCTGCGCTGTGTTATGCTAATCAATGCTATCCTATGCTATGCTGCGCTATGCTAAGATATGTTATAATATGACATGTTGAGCTATGCTATGCTATGCTGCGTTTGGCTATGATATGCCATGATATGCTGTGCTAATGCTGCGCTGCGCTATGCTGCGCTGTGCTAAGCTAAGGTAAGGTAAGCGTTGCTAAGCTAAGCTAAGCTAAGCCAAGCTAGGCTAAGCTAAGCTAAGCCAAGCTAAGCTAAGCTAAACCAAGCTATGCTAAGCTAAGCTAAGCTAAGTTAAGCTAAGCTACGCTAAGCCTAGCTAAGCTAAGCTAAGCTAGGCTAGGCAAAGCAGGGGATCCTGGGGGAACCGCGGGGCGGATGCCGGGGGAACCGCCTGGGGCGTAGTCCACTGCCCGGCCCCTTAAGCTTATACGGTAAGAACCCTTCTAGGCAAAGCCTAGGTAGGGAAAAAGGATACTGAGACGGAGACGGAGACGGAGACGGAAACGAAGACGGAGAGGGAGACGGAGACGGAGACGGAGACGAAGAAGGAGAGGGAGAGGGAGAGGGAGCCACGGAGACGAGACGGAGACGGAGACGGTGAGGGGGAGGAGAGGGAGAGCGAGAGAGAGGGAGAGGGAGATCGGCGCACCCGCGTGCACGAACAGGCAGAGCTCTAAACTCACTCCGAGCCTCGAGGTTGACTTCAAAACCTACTCCAGGAGCAAGAGCGGCTGCGGAGCGACACTGGATTTCAAGGCAAGACAATGAACTTGTGGCGCCCCACCTCTTGAACATCCAAAAGGCGTGCTCTGCACCTCTCCCCCCCCAGACCCCCGACGTCGTGATTTTTTCACAGCGTCGACCCCCAGAGGTCTGGACCACTTCCCCCAGACCAGCTTCTCGTCCCGAGTCGTTTTTCTGGACGGTCCCGAGGCCCAGTAAGGTTAAGTCGGGCCTGTCCCCCTACAGGCGGAGTTCGGGCGAAAAATGGCCCACACCCCGAAATATCCAAAACATGCTCTAAATTGTCAAACAAATCGTCCCCATACTTTTTGTTTTCGGCTATTTTCGAATACCCCTGCTGTAGAGAGGACACGCCCGACTTCACGGCAAGGACCCCCGAAGGCCGAGGCCGAATGTAGCCCAATCAAACCTCCCGTCGTGCTTGTTGCACAGCGTGCGGAGGCCTGGGTCTGGGCCGCTCCTGCAGCTGGCCGAGGGCGGCCACCGCGCCGTCCAGGGGCGCGCCGCCGCCGCCGCCAGAGGCGGCGAGGAAGGGCAGCTGGGCGGCGAAGACGCGCGCCTGCCGCTCTGCCACTCTCCCTAGGGGGAGAGAGGGAGGAGGAGAAGGAGGAGGAGGAGGAGGAGGAGGAGGAGGAGGAGGAGCACCCCGAAATATCCAAAACATGCTCTAAATTGTCAAACAAATCGTCCCCATACTTTTTGTTTTCGGCTATTTTCGAATACCCCTGCTGTAGAGAGGACACGCCCGACTTCACGGCAAGGACCCCCGAAGGCCGAGGCCGAATGTAGCCCAATCAAACCTCCCGTCGTGCTTGTTGCACAGCGTGCGGAGGCCTGGGTCTGGGCCGCTCCTGCAGCTGGCCGAGGGCGGCCACCGCGCCGTCCAGGGGCGCGCCGCCGCCGCCGCCAGAGGCGGCGAGGAAGGGCAGCTGGGCGGCGAAGACGCGCGCCTGCCGCTCTGCCACTCTCCCTAGGGGGAGAGAGGGAGGAGGAGAAGGAGGAGGAGGAGGAGGA